CATCCTCGTGCAAATCGTAGCCAGATTTATATCCGATGTTTCTGAGTACAGTTCGAGATAGACAAATTTGGAACTGATGAGTTTACCCTTCAGCATCGCCTCCACACCTCGTGCGCTTTGGTATATCTATACCATTGTGTATCCTTCTCCGTATTTCAGCTTGCAGTTCTTAATCATTTTTCCTTGATACACACCTGTTGATTGACTGGTGGAAAACAGGCGCTCATGGCGAGTTCTTCTATGAGGGGCGCCGCTTCGACGGACAGAGTATAGGTGAGGCTGATTTACAGACCATCTCGAAGTCGGCTCTGAAAGTGATCAAGGTGGGTGAGTGAATTCGAGGCAGAGTTGAAGGGGGTGAACATTTAACCTTCCCCAATCTGGTCTTGCTACAGAATTAGAGTCGTGAATTTGTTTGTATGCTTCTAAATAGTATCACAAGGGAATTGCTGCATGCGAAAGCTTGTGTTTGTAGAGCAGAGTGCGCCCTTTTGTCTACCTGTGCGTAGACCTACTCGGGGTTTGCATTGCTGTGCTTATTTGTGAGATGAGAGTTCAAAATATACGGCCGCTCGGCCTAATCCTCACTAAGGGGGGGCGAGTTTGTGGTTGTATACCATAGAAAGGGACATAGTGTTCATACCATAGAAAGGGTTATAGTGTTCCGATTTGCTGCGCTATGTCTACAAGTAGCGATATCACTGAACAAGTATCTGAGCGTAATGGAAAATCTTTTTGTTTGGCCCTCGCACATGCCTATCGGCACATTCTGGATATTTTGAATGGTGGAGCGTACAAATACAATTAATCACGACAGTGAGTCATGAATTTGTATGTAGGTAGAGTTGATACTATCTGCGTGTTAGATTTAATCCGTACACACACCTGCACCTGCAGCAAGCGCATGCTTTCGAACGGCTCGAGGTCAGCAAGGCGCAAGCACTGGAGTTGTTCCAACACAACGAGTACAAGAAGCACTTCATCAACAAGGCAGACGAGACGGTCACCTTCACAGCCTACAAGATGGGTGCTCTGGTAGATCTGTGCAAGGGGCCCCACATACGTCACACAGGTATTTCGACGTTGAGTGTTGATAAAACTATTGGTTCTGTATATTCAACGGATATGTGTTGATGTCTGTACGTGTACCAGTCACGGCACAAATATCGACAGGGCCCCATTTCCACGACAGTACTATTTGGTATTGCGCGCCATTGTATACTAACGTTTCCCTATCTGTATATCTCCAAACACTTGTTTTGTATCTTTAGGCCAGCTGGGTGCTTTTCACGCCCATAAATTGTCGGGTGCCTACTTCCTGGGCGATCCCAGTCGCGATCAGCTCCAGCGTGTGTATGGCGTAGCGTATCCCGCCGGACCAGACAGCCGTGGTAAACGTAAGTACAAGGGTTTTCCAACGAATGTCTGATTGAATAGTATACGTATGTAGGCAGGAGTATATGTCAGATGTTGTAGTAAACGTAATGGTGTATAGTTTTCGATGAATATCAGATTAATTAGTAAATGCACCTTCCAGGCTCACAACCCTTCCTCGTATAAGCGTTCCCAAATGAAATAGTTCTAAGTACGTGGACAGTTTAGGAACAAAATACTACGCAAGCTTGACTATCGCATAACGCTCGAATTCACATTGTTTGCTACATATTTTTTATACGTGTATGCGCATTGTCTCACATCAGAGGAAAGGTATATCATACCTACATACATTCAATAAGACTGGTAAAGATTCGGGAAGGTCCTGACCCAGTTTTGGATACTGGTGTACAAACGAGTCAAGTGTGTGATAAGAACCCTCTGCGATTTGAGTTGTTTTCATAGGATTGCACATGCTTCCATATCTTTGATGTTAAATAACTGCTAACTCTCAGGCATTTACTTATTAATTGGTTTCATGCTACGCTTGAATATGATTAACTTCGGTAAAAATGCACAAGCACTCGATCGTGATTGTGGGAGGGATGCAGTGCCCGATATACGATATATTGTATGTATGTTGAATTTGGGTTCACATTCACGGGCGTGTGTGTTGATACATGTGCAAACAAAATCATGCCGGGAAGATTACATTTTACAACTGGTGCACTGTGCCTGATAGACTACCTCGTATCTCAGTTGTACAGTGTAGAATTCACGGTCCTCTGTACATATGATGTCTGATAGAGCATTGTTAATAACTGTTGTACAGTGTACACCTTCTTCCAATAATGTACATCATGTCTCCATTATATGGTAGAATTCACGGTGCTCTGTACACATGATGCCTGATAGAGTACTGTTTATAACTGTGGTACAGTGGATGCCTTCTTTCTATGCTATTCCCCGTGTGTGTTTCTATTGTATAGTGTAGAATTCATAGTCCTCTGCACATTGGTGTCTAATACAGCACTGTTTATACCGGTTTCACAGTGGATGCCTGGAAGAAGGCCCGTGCCGAGAGTGCGCAACGCGACCATCGAGTGATAGGCAAATCGCAGCACCTGTTTATGTTGCACGAACATAGTCCAGGGTCGCCCTTTTTTCTTCCTCACGGTCAGAGGATAATTAACAGGGTATGCGTTCCCCAGTTGTATTAAATAGTGGTCCACGCATGGTATGGGTTATCTACATATTTCGCATGTGGCCACAGGAGAATTAATGAAGTTTGCGGTGTTCAAGAAGTGATAAATGGGACCGACATGCTGTTTGACTCTAACAAATCTCGCAGCTAGGCAGACGCCAATTCTCTCAGACATAGTACACATACTTTTATAAAGATATGTACAAA